GGGGGGGGATACCTAGAGAGGATACCTAGAGAGGATACCTAGAGAGGATAACTATATTTTATGGAGAATTACTTAATGTGCACGCTAGTTTATCGATCAGTCCTTACCAAACATGGTACACCCCCTCCCCTCCCGATTTAGTAATGTATCCTGCTGTACGCTATTACTGTACTCTATACCCTTTTTATTGCAGACATVAGGTGTACACATAAGTGATAATTCATGGTTCCGACTCAGAGATTAGCGAACCAATCACCGTTGCAGCAGTTTACCCAATGGAATTAAAATCTCGTCCCACAAACAACTACACAGTATCTGTTTTAATGACTAAAAGGATTACAAGGCAATTTTCTATTCTGTTCGCAGAACAGTTAACAAATTACAATCAATGTTCTGCGATCAGAGTTAAATTCCGAGATATTGTAAATACTTTGTTAAGCTTGTGGGACATAGCAACGGTAATCAAAGGAAGTCGGAACCATGAATCAGGTGAAAACACATTTAAGCAACAACAGATAAAACGTTATCCAGAGCTTTTCTGGGTAGTACATGTGCATCCGGCCGTATCTTAGGAAAGGTATATTTTTTATAATTTCTGGTTAAGTGATACACGTTTGATGAAGAGAAAAACTAATTTGAATCACACCTGTGCAAAGCTGATAAAAAACACTTGGGTATTTGTCAACATGGTGGCGTGAAGCGGAATTTCTTCCCCATTCTTTCTCGTCCAGTCGTTATATGCCTGAAAAAAAATCATGGCGAGATTAAAAGGTGAGTAGTGAAATCAGGACAGAAACTCTTTAATGGACCATTTTCGAATTACTTAAATATCGCTGTGTTCCTTAATCACAGACTCATTTGTGTAAGGTTAGCCTAAGCCTCCTTCGCAGGCGTCCCTTGGGGCCGTTCTACAAAATCCCCCGCCAGGGATTTTAAAGAAGCCCCAAAGGACGCCTGCAAAGGAGGCTAGGTTAGCCTTAGTTCAGTGTACAAATATCCACAAATAGCAACAGTAAAGTAAAGAATGCAAAACTTCAACGATACAAACACTTTGAAATTCCAAGGACCTTCACTGGAAAACACGAATATTCCAAGTAGGTGTATAGGAAATCGAGGCTAACCCTGTAGAACAGATATTTCGAATGCGAAGTATTGTACTATCCGAATATGTGCGTTGGTTTTGAGGGATCCTCAATAAATCGAGTTTCCAAATGTTTCATGACTAACGCTCAAAAATTTAACATGTGGGGGGGGGGATTGGGAAGAAGAAACATCTACATATACCTGTAAAGCGTACTTAACACCTGCATTATCAGCTATATTCTCCGAAAGAGAGGATAGGCCATCCACCTGGAAAAACAAAACCAAAATGGAGTAGATTGTTTTCACTCCCCCGACGTGTCGGGCCATTGTGGTGACCGTGTCACGCTTCCGATCATTATGATCTGATAAGCTGTGATAATAAACGACTTCTCTCTTTCTCTCTTTCTCTCTTCAATGTTTTGAGCCCCTGGTAGGAATTTAGGCTCCGTTCACACGTTCACAACATAAAAGAATACATGTGGGGATAATTGAAAACAATTCGAAAACGAACGTAAGGCCATTAAAAAAAAGTAAAATTTAAAAAAACTGGATTCGTTTGGAGGGATTATTAGTGTACGGAATCTGCATAATATTCTTACTTCATATCCATAAAATGTTAAGTTACTGTACTGTTCGATCAAGCACTTGATTTTCTGATTGAACGCTTCTCTAGTCTTCTTCGTCCACCAGGCCACAAAGTTACCGTGCTTGTCATATTTGCTTCCTGGAAAATTCAAGACATCATTTATCATTGATCATTCACTAGTCTAAGTTTTAATTAAAAATGTCTTCTCAAGCCCAATCATACAGGAAAACGTTTTAGACTCAAATCAATCTAAATATTTTTCTAGTTTTACACGTGACCACTTACGTCATTTCATGTTTTGTTTTTTTCCTTTTCCTTGTCAGAAGTGTACATTCTTATTGGTCAAGTTGTAACAACCAATCACGTCTTTCCCGTACCTTGACTGAGCCTTGTGCATCTCTAAACATCCACTTACCTTGGTTGTCAAATCCATGTATTATTTCATGCCCTATCACTGTTCCAATAGCTCCATAGCTAGCAGCTCTGTTTTRAAGAAAGAAAAGCATAACTGAGCAATTAAGAGTAAAGGGAGGATCCAGGGGGTACGTTGAAGATTAGTCCAACTGTATATGTAACACATTTAAAAATGGCATTGTATTACTTTAATTAATTATTATTATTATTATTATTATTATTATTATTATTTTTTTATTATTATATTCATTATTATTATTTTTTATTTATATAACAATGGTACCTTAAATAGTATTTGTTGTAAAATGGAGGCTGTAAGATACCAGCAGGAAAAACTAATAAGGAAAGACTAGTGTTAAATACTAAAACTGTACATTAAAGTGTAAGTGTTACGTGACAAATGTGTGTTCCCACTGTTATCCCCGTGACGTCATCCATTGTTAAAATAGTAAAATACAACGTGCAAGATCTATAGTTTATTTTAGGTTGTCGATTTTGCATGATTTGGGAAATGATTTGTAAATCACGTCAGCGTTTTCAAAATCCTCGACTTTTGCTAATGCCATAGGCTTTCCTTCACCAATGCCTAACTTTGGAAATTGTTTTGCAATGTACGTATGCGTTTACAAGGAAGACACCCAGCGATGGTTTTAGTGTGGACGCAAAGCCAAAATGCATCGAAATGTATGCGTATTCGAACGGAAAAAATATATAGAAGGGGCCTTATAGCGATTTATTAAAAATGTACCATCCAAAATCATATGTGCATACGTGGTAACTTATACTCGTACAAGATTTTTCGAAAGGAATAACTTCGTGCCATGTGTATTGAATTCAAAGAATTTTTAATCACAGGTGTGCGTTTAACAGAAGAACTAAAGGTCTGTTAATAAAACAAAGCTGGGAACACAAGACTGGAAATGTGTTTCGATACATACCAATTTTGTTAGACACAGGGGTGTAAAAGGCATTGATATTAATTGGTGCGAAGTCCCATCTGTTTAAAAATAATCAATATTAACTACGGTATCTTTTAATACACGTTTATAATAAATGGATGGATGGATGGATGGATGGA